CACCCTCAGCAGTGGTTAAAGTAAATCACAGGAGATGCCTACACCCCGCTGACTAAAGTATACCATTTTATCTAAGGGTCACTTAAACTGTGGTATTTCAGGGGTCGACATTTACTGATTTCCACTGATTTGAGGCAGTTAGCAAGTTGAAATGCCACCTTTTATTCAAAGTGCATGTGAAACTTTTGCAAATGTGACCTCTGCTATTTATATCAGTCAAAAATATGAGCTTTCTTAGTGTCCTGCTGAGTTTTTACGATCAAGATGTTTGCATTTAATTACTGTAAAATGGAGAAACTTTTGCAAAGGTTTTATTTCTTGCAGGAGGGTAAAATAAGGTTTTTGCTTTTTTAGTTTTTGGAGTTTGAAAAAACTTCTGCTATACAGTAGACCAGTTATTAAAACACATATTTATGGTATTGTGAATTTATGATGAAGGGGTCACCATGAAAAAAAAAATACGCGAAAAGTTTCGTGACTTACAGTACCAGATAGATGGATGCAGCAATAGTGGATCTGGAAAAGCTACTGTTTACAAAGAAGGTTTGCATTTGCATGTCACCGATTCTAACTTGACACAAACACTTGAACATTCTTACTAATACTTGCAATGAACAAAATGCCTTCTTCAAATAATCTTCTTTTTAAATGACTCTCCTTTCAGGTTGATATCAACTTTTCTTTATTAATTAAAGGCTAAATGTTTACAGGCAGTGCAGGCACTGATCATAAAGATCAAAGAAAATAATATCTGATTATGTCTTGCCTTAAAAAGGTTAAGTAAAATACCACAGTGAAGTTTCATGACAACATCATTTAAGTGTAGGCTGCAGGGGTATTTAGATCAAGCAACATGTTAATAAAAGTTGACACTGCCAAACTTCTGGTTTACCACACATGTACATGTAACAGCAAACTGTGTACAGAAACAGATATGATGTAACGAAAAATTCAAAAATAGTATGTACATTGATACACCTGCAACCTTCTAGGATGTAAATCTATACAGATATTTTACTGTGTGTGGATTTGCATCCTGTGGATTTGATTTGGGAATTACATTTCAAGGGGATTTACTATCAAAAGGATTTTCTGGATTATCAGAAACTCCCATCATGCCCCCAGGTGTGAGGGGAGTACAGGAGATGAAACGCAGGGGCCACCCCCACCACAGGAATTATGGGTACCTGTAGTTATCCCACACAGGAATTAAGGAAACATATCCCTAGCCTGGACCCAATTTACACACGCAGTCATTTTATTTTTTTACACATGCATGCAAAAACCTGACGTACTGTATATTTGTGCAAGTGTACGAAAACTGCCCACATCAAATCTTTTCTGCGTGTAAATTGGCCTGCTTTCACGTACAGTTTGGGGAGCTACATATATACATTAGACCATGAATTGACCACACCCAAACATTCAAACTAGCTATGTCTGACCTACATCAGATGACCCAAAATAACTTGTCATTTCCTTTTCACTAGTCATTCACAAAAGTTCAGATTTGCCCCACTTTTTTACTGGTGGGATAATAGTATGAACCCAAGACCCCCTAGAGTCCAGGAAAATTGCCAAATTAATTCAAGTCATGTACCAAGCAATTTTTGAGCTGTCATGTTTTGATATGCAAGCAGGTATCCCAAGGAATAGCAGTATCTATTATACAATCTGAATGATTTTTTAAAAAGTTGTAACACATTGAAGAACAGAACAGAAAGAAATGCGTCTTCAACGGCTCAGCACTACTATAAGTTCAAAAGTGTGACCTTACATGTGAACCAGAAGCAAAAGTCAAGGTGCTCAAGTAGTTGTTTAAGAGGTGTCAGTATGAAATAAACAGCAGTAAAACAGGTTGCTAAAAAATGTCCTCTAATCGTTAATTTCTCTACTACTTAGAGGCTATCTGTCCAATTTTAGTTTTAGTTTTAAGAAATGTCAGAGTGAAATAAACAACAGTAAACCACTATGAGACAAAATGTCCTCTAGTTGTCAATTTCTCGACTATTTATAGACTATCTGTCCAATTTTAGTTTAAACTTTTGGGCTGGGAAATGTCACTTGTCTTTGTAATAAACAAGCTTTAAATTTTCCTGTTACTAGTGTTAGTGTGTTTGTTACATGTTTAGGTCTATGGTAGTTATAACCTTTCCCTTAAAAGTTCAAAGACATTCAAGGCTCTATCATTTAGCTGTTCAACATTACTAAACAACTGAGTTGCAGTGCTGCATCTGTAAGAAGTCGGTTAGACCATGCATCTTTTATTTAACTCTATGGCATAGCAAAACCATCAACAATTGCAAGAAACAGTCTTCTTAAAAATATTGTTTCACATGCAGTATGTTGACCTTTCATGACAATTTCAATAGACTTAAAGTTCTATCTATATAATTCATTTTGACGTCCATAAAAATAACTGATTTCCTGAACACAGCTGAACGCCAGCAGGGAGGCTGGTCCACCACAAAATCAGCCCATTATCGCATTTTGACCGTGAAACTGGCTGATCCATTAAATAATCCTACCCTGAACATTCCTATCCTTTATTAGCAGGCATGATGAATGCATTTCCCCAGACAGTCTGGCCCAACTTGACCCAACATGTCAGGGTTTTCCCACAACAACAAGGTCATCCCTCCTGCTAAGAGGAGGAGTGAATGAACACTTTGTTTGGTGTAATTCCAAAAGGGCTTGATTGGAAGCTTTGGGAGATTGGAACGTCTCATCCCTGCCAGGGAAAGACAAGCGTGGAAAATGGTGGGTTTAACCTCCATTAGAACAGAACAAGCTACCATTGCCAAGAGGACAGCAATTCATCCCAATGTCCAACTGCTACCGGCCACCAAAAAGTCGACCACAGCATATCCAGAACAGGAAATACAAAAGTTCTGCTGCAGTACCAAGGGTAGATGCTAGAAGACCCAAACACAGTACCTACCCACATACCAAATATCATCACAATCCATCCACAGCTTCTTATAATTATGTAATTGGTGGCCAAAACATCCAGAAACACAGACTGACTGACAGATAAAAAACAGTATCTCCATTTTAGAGGTAATTTCAGCTGACCACAGTGCGTTGAATAAAGAGCTCATATAACTAACCACAGCAGTACTCAGTAATTACATGTAGATCCAAATTTCTTTCTTAGCTATTCTTTTTTATATATTTTTTTAAATTTTAACTTATTAATCATTAAAACGTCTTAGAAGTGTATGTAACGGTCGTAAAATATTGTGCCAAGCAACTTCAATTTTAAAACTGAGTCAGACGTAATAATGAGGACCTTTTGAAGTTGTACTAAGTAAGTTGCTACAATGATTTTAGATCCGGACATAAACCTGGATTTGATTCAAGAAGGTGGACACACGTTCCTTATTTGTTCCAGCTATGAAATGGTCCAGAAATTGGGCCAGATTAAGATTATTGCATTTTATAGTTCTTTTGGTAGTAAGGGGCTATAAATAATTTCAAGAACTTTCAAGGAAGGAAAGATAAGAACTGCTAATGATGATCCTGGATTCAATTTCCTAATTTGTCATGGCTATGAAATGGTAACAAGTAACAGAATGACAACAGTGTTCCCTATGTGTGTATAATGTCATGGGGGAGGGGGGCTGTTACCCAATACTACTTGCAACTAGCGACCTCTGTAGGATCCAGACAGTTTAAGTTACAGCCCTGACTGTGTTCAATGTTAAAATATACAGTCTAATTAAGAAAATACTACAGGCCAGTAGTAGATAATGTAATATGGGGATATTGTGCCAAAAATTTGATACTGATACAGAAAAACAGGTTGAATGAGGTTTAATTACAATGTTAACAGTCACACTGTCAACTTTGTTTGATTTTTCAAGTCCAATCAAGGCTACATATGGTGACCTATGTCCCGCTGAGCTTGCTTTGTTTGTTTGACTTTCTTAGAAAGAAAATATAGTTGTGTCATCCAGTTACTGTGACTGTGTTGCTAAACTAAATGTTCTTTTAATAAATGAGATCTAAATCTTCAACTTGGATACTACGAGGAAACTTTGTACAAAAATGGACTTTTGACAATAAAAAAAGAAAACAACAGCCTTGCAGTACATATGTAGCTATAATAATTGTAGACTTTGGGACAGTTATTTTCAATAAGTGCAGTGGTTCGCAGCTTAAAATCCCATCCTAAGTAAGGACTGCAACCCTTTCCAGTAAGGTGCAAGTCAGGTGAGAGACACATTTGGGATGCTAACCAAAAAAAACTAGGACCAGTAGGTAGGAATTCTCAAACACGGTCTAACAATGTAAAACTGACATGGTTTACAATCTGAGTTATTTTGAAAATCAGGAAAAATTGAAGCTTCAAATCTGGGACCCAATTGACTACATTGGTGTGGCCCTTGGACAGAAATTCTGCCCAACCCAGCACAAACAAGACCCAGTTTCTCAGGTCAGATCAGATGGCTATATGGTCCACTGTTCCCTTTTTGGATACATTCCTTTGCCCATTGTGGTGTACCAGACTAATTGTCAGTTTTGTGTGTAAGTATGCCAAGGGAACCACAGGAGGTAGAACAAGCAGGGATGGATTTGGACTACAGGCCTATATATCCTGATATGCTATACCAGACCTGTCAACATGGAATGTGAACTTGTGGTTTGAACCTGAACTGATACTTAAGTGATCTCCTCTTCAGCTACGAAAACTCTTTGTCAGACTAGAGGACTCATGAAGTAGGCAGATCTCTAGCTGTGTCTGCAAAGTTCTAGCCAGCATTGTCTTTCCGTCATGTCATTTGACAGAATTTTGCTGAGCCATGACAGATAAAATGTTCAAAAAAAAATTAGATGACGCAAAAAAGGCTGGCTAGAACACTGGACATCTCTAATATAAAAAGGTTCAGTTGTAGATTGCAGATGAGAAAGAGGAATTAGAATTTTCATCCATTTTTCTGTCTATCCTTTTCTTCCTTCTTTCTTTTCATGATCCAGTTTATCCCCATCAGTCTTACCTCTTCTCCAGCGTCTCCAGAACACTGCTGTTCCGCAGCGTTGGGGTCCTTCCTGATCAGCAGCTCTTGGATGGAACCCTGTCAACACAAAAGAGTAAAATTTCATGAGCACCTTTTCTCAATATCTGACACATTTTTAATTGAACTTCGACTTTTGGGTGATCTGACCCCCAGTGATACACAATATACTCGTTGTAGTTTACTTAATATCATACCCACCCACAGAACTTAACTTAACTGTTTTTCACATTATATAGCAGAATGATGTGTTGTTGTTCCTTGTTCCACATTATCTGAACGAAAACTTTCTTTTCACTGGTGCAGATTGCTGTACAGTTTTCCCGGTAGCTCAATGAACATTTGAGCTGCTCTTCCAATCTTTTAACTAATCCACTTGTATTATAGAAAACATTTTGTTACTGGCTGCTGGTGTTCATCATGTCATTGATTGATGCTTTGGCTCTTCTAAAACAGGGATCTAAGTTGTTACAAAAGCTTTGGGCTCTTTTTCAGAGAGAGAAGTCAGGCATCTCTTGACATTTAGTTTGTGTGCTTCTTCCCTACCCAAGCAAACACGACATGCTTCCTGCCAAGCACAATGTCTGCTATTTGCTGAGTAACTGAAGTTAGAACTGGGTCAACTTGATTTACTGCACAAACTTTGAAGGACTGTACCATTTATAATGAACAGTTACCAGTGGGCGAACAAAAAGGAGGAAATTAGAAAGGGAATATTCTGACAATATATTCTTGTTTGAAGTCATCTTGACCTCCTTTTTGTACAAAAGGCATCCAATGCAATTTTAGGGCCACAAAACATATTATGAAATCTGTCTGATATTGACATTTATTGTTATTTCTTAGCAAATTTTTGCTAAAATCGCTTTGGGTGCCTTCAACTCAAGCTTGAAGCAGTTTAAATTGGTTTCTTGCTAGATACAATGCTTTATTTGTTGGTTGACAATTGCAAACGTTTTCTTGCTAAAGAATTCTACTACAGTTTAGTTCCGTTATTTTCTTGTGCGTTTTAACCTTTTCACTCAGCCTCTATTTCTTTTTCATTAACTGCCTTCCATTTGACTTTAAGTGGTTCCTTTCCCAATTACGAGAGGTCGGAGATTTCGCACCCTAGTGGCAGCCTGAGGCGAGGAATGGATACTGGGGAAATATTTTCACCCCCTGTCTACAAGTCTGGACAGAGAGGTCGGGCGAGAAAGGGTCAAAGTAGGGTTCAGTGACACTGGCTCTGATGTCAAGGCAAAAGTGTCCTACAGAACACCTGGAAACAATGATCCTTACCACATTGAGGTCTCGTTATGCAATTACTGTGTGTAGTGTCTGAAACAGTCCAGTCTAAAAAATGACTGGCCCCAAAAATGTATGTTTTTGGTCAATCATAAATTCCCTTTCATTGATCCCACCTGATTTCAAAAGGATTTGAGATGAAAGCTTATTTATCATTGACAGGATTAGGTTGGAAAGTTTCGGCATCCGAGAGAATGTGGAACATATACCTTGTTTTTCTTTTGTCCTGAGTACTACAGTCAGTCACTGTCAGTGTGAGAGGGCCTCTTGTGGATAGTAGCCAATTACAGTTATGAATACCAAAAATATTGCCATAGCAAAGTCATATTCAAGGTAATGGGATATCTTTTCTGGTAAAAATATGCTAAATCTCTGGTGATGTCAGCATTAGTCATTTTTGCTTTTTTTATTGTCAATTGTCAAAGATGAACTTTCGTGCCATACTGTCATCTACACGTATATGTAAAACATTGAGTGTATCAATGTATTGTACTGTACATGAGTTAGCATACTGTCTCAATGAAACAGTCATGCTTGAAGTTTGTTTTTTACACCAGTATTTACACCAGAGATATACGCACCGTAACAAATTTGAACTGTTACACACTGGAAAAGTGAGCCAGGGTGACCAGTGGCAGTGTTCCATCAGGAATTTCAGAGTGGTACAAATCAGTGTATCATGACTAACACACTGCACATTTACAAACAAGGGAGCATGCCTGGTATGGCACGGGTGACCTTAGCAACACAGCCTGGGGGCCCCTCATGTCTGGTGTTGGTCCGAGAGGTCAAGACGGTCATTTCGGAGGTCTAGTGTGGCCGCTGGACACACGGTATTGGGAATTGGAGCTGATATTGCAAACATGGGAGGAATTTGGGGGGCAATATTTGTACACGTTAGAGACAAGATACAAAAGGGCACAAGGTCTGGTGACCTAGACATCAGTTGCCAAATTTGCTTGTGTCAATCTAGGCATGACCTTTGAGAGTTCAAGTAAAGGCTGACCATCCATTTTTTTGATCGTGACATGAAAAGTGGCCTTCAGTTTTCCGTTTCAAAAGAAGTTAGCTCACAGAGAATTGAACTGATCCGGCACAACTTTGATACCTCATCATTCTACCTTTACCAAAAGAAACATCTTTGTAGCATCCGTGGGAAGAAAAAGGTGTTTATTTGTTGTCTTAGACAGGTGACTGACAACAAAGAAATACATCAGGATGCACAGTACACATTGCTTATTTACCAAGAGACCTCAGATTGACAGAACTGAAGAGACTAAGACCAGAACTGTCCAAATTGTCAGAAACATTGTCAGGGAAGAGGATAGATGATGTTTGAGTATCTCTTTTTCATCTGGATGAAAAGGTTTCAACAGGCAGATTTGGGTCAGGAAGAAGACATCACTCTTAGTCCTTTCATCAATTTTCAAGAAACACTCCTCTTCAAAGTCCCTTAAATGAGTCTTTAAGAAATGTTTACACACTGAAGAATTTGTGTCCATTGGAACACTTTGGAATATGTTTACACACTCAAGGAAGTGTTCACTGAAACACTTTGCCATCGGAGTGTCTCAGTTCTGGCTGTGTAGGCTGGGAACAAATCTATTCATGGATAAATCAAGGACAAAGGCAGCTGTCAGGAAATCTTCAACAGACAATTGGTCATTACTGTCTACCAGTGCAATGGCCAAGTGGGTAGAGCCTTGCACTCAGTAGGTCATGAGTTTTATTCCAGGCAGTCATATGTCAAAGAGTTTGAAAACAGTACATACGGCTTACACTGATGAACGTTTGGGAAAGAGACACCACTCAAGTGGACTAACCCCCTGCACAACTGTGTGGCCTAAGGGCTACAGAAACGGAGATGGGTGCTGCCCTAAGCACCACACTCGGGTGCAGGAAGGAACTTGAGTTGTCTATAGTGGTTTGATTCCCTGATATGGGACAAAAAGGTCATCATGGCTTTTAATCCGGCCTTCTTGTTTGCCCACTGGTTGCAGTTCTTTGGATGGTCCACTGTTTATTGTACTTCTCAAACAGTCTTGGAATTTTTCCAACATTGGACTTGACCTGTATATAATAGTGTCTGTCTACTTTTCACCGGAGATAGAATGGGTAACAGGCTAACAGTAACTGAGTAAGGTGAAGTTGAATGAAGAAACCTCTCCTTTAAAGGGACCAAAGTTAATGGCCTGCAGCTGTTTTCATGGTACTGAAAACATGGTCGTTAAACTGTCTTCCAACGTTTTAAAGTCCATCCAATATTGTCAGCACCAGCCATTGAAAGTCTGGGGGACTTGTTCTTTCCTGGTTGCCAAAGATGATAAGTACAGTACATGTATACAGAACTGAAATGTACCAGTATACGTATTGTCTGGTGGGTGCTAGCCCGGATGCCAGGCTGTTTCCAGGGCATAGATAGCCTGGCTCCTGGGCTCAAGAGCCAACATGCCCCCAAGGAAATTTTCTCTGATACAATAAATTAAATCTATATCTGAAACATTATTTCCAAGTACAACCACAAGTAATATATAGTCAGATTGTAAAAGGGATGGTATCCAGGAACATGAATAAATAAAGCCTCAAGAAACAAACAAACAAACATAGGTTTGGACATTGTTAGGTTTGCTTGGTGTTACCCTGGGAGCCATCCTCGTTGGTCGTCGGGGAGAGTTAGTAAACGCCGCGGGCCCTGGTTAGCCCGTCCCCGGCACACGCCCTCCCCGCCCTACGCTGGGCACCACATCGTTGGGTCGGAGGGCCTAGGGGGTTTGCGTAATTACTATCAGCGCGCGGCCTAGAGGGTATCCGCATAGGGTTTCAGCGCGCGGCCTAGAGGGTTTCCGCATGTGGTGCCCAGCGTAGGGCGGGGAGGGCGTGTGCCGGGGACGGGCTAACCAGGGCCCGCGGCGTTTACTAACTCTCCCCGACGACCAACGAGGATGGCTCCCAGGGTAGCTTGGTGTTGGGGTGGGGCATCACTTCTCTCCAAGCAAGGTGTAGGCTTGGCTTATTTTTGACGTGTTTTCAGGCATTCAGGCTTTCTTTATTGTACTGGTATCTTTTTTTTATGCCAGCCAGGAAAAGATTTGCTTGGAGATGAGGGCAACACTGGCCTTGATGCCTGATTCACAACAGTTTAACAGTAACACCTCTGGTTGTTTTAGTAGGCACTAGTGTGTTTAAGAAAGAACAAGAGTTGACTGATTGGAGCTCAAAAGTAACATCTACCTGAAAATAAACAAACTCTGCTAAAAATCAATAGAAACATTTACATTTAGTACTGACTGCTGACTTGCAATTCTGTCACAAACTGGATAGAATAAATTGATAGCTTTTTTTTGGCAGGCTGCTAGAACGTCTGCAGGTGTAAGTTTTCCGTGCTGGTTTCCTTGTCCAATTCCTCACGTTCTCGAATTCCCTGAGAATTCCTTCCAACCTTTCTCACAACCCACTCTTTCTGTAGAACATAACTCAAGACGTGAGCGTTGTAGAAATTGTCACCAACACATGCCTTTTCTTTCTTTAACTTCTTGAAGTAAAAGTTAATTTTGTGAACCCCTTATCCCAGTGGCAGTTGCTTTCTAATTAACTTGTCCCCTGCAGTAAATCTAATTAAAATAACAGTAAGCCACCAATTGCTTCATGCTGAGAACTGTCTATCACATGTACAGCTTTTGAGAGTGAACTGTTACAGTAGTCTCCAAGCAGATGTGACAGTCTGGCATTTCTGCATTTTACAGTTTCCTTTGAAAGGAGTACTAAATGCTGCAAAAAATTAGCAGCACTACATTATATCTTATACGTTTTGGCCCTTCCTTCAAAGGAGTACTAAATGTTGCAAAATAGGTAAAATACATAAAGAACGAGCAGGATCCTCATATCTGCTTGGAGATTACATTCTAGACCAAAACTGTATTTTATCACCTTGTGCTCAAACAAACACAACAAAGCAGGTAAAATATATTGTTTTTTTTTTGTGTCAATCGTTTGTGTGAACAAATACATGTACTGTATTATAATAAAGCATACAATGAACAGCTGTATGAAATTTAAAATCTAGATTGAAAAAGCAGTCTTCCATAACCAATTTACCAACCTTTAAAGAATTTGTCATGGTATAATATCATGCCAATTAAAATCTTATGATGTACAATGGTTTTCTGTGCCCCTTTCAGACAAGTGAGCATCTTCTTTCCCACAGGATTTCAGAAGGACTCCAAAAATTACACACCGATTTCTTGTGGGGTCAGCTGGCAGTCAAAACACAGTATGGTTTCAACCCCAAAGGACCAGTGGTCAGTCTGTCCCACCCAAAAAGTCTGCCCAAAGTTGACTGGTCAGCTTTTTCCCATGAAATAAATAACTTCGTAAGTCGCAGTTGTAGCAACCACCATAAGATAGTGTGGGACAAAATCTCACAGATGACTTAATCAAAATTTGAGCAAAAAAGCAACACAGTGAGATGCAATTTCATGATAATAAGAATTTGCTCTAGATGTATCAAAAAACTTACAAGAAACCAGTATGGGTCTGTAATTATTTAAAATTGGATGGAAGTAAAAGATAAATATGATTATTACCTTGACTCATTATTTAGCAACTTTATTTGTTTGTTTGTTTTTTCAGTTTTCTCAAACATGCAACAGTTTGATAAGTAAGTACGGGTAACTCAGCAAATACAGGAGCTGATTAATGCCAAATTGTTGCTCCTTTCATTATCCTGCTAATCAAGTGATTGGTTCAAGGAAAGGCAACACAATTACTTGAGTACAAAAGTCATTGTCTCTTTCAATTGGCTGACAAGCTAATTCAATTATAGACAAAATTCATTGTCTCTTTCAATTGAGTGACAATCTAATTCAATTATACTTTTTATAGACAAAAGTCATTGTCTCTTTCAATTGGGTGATAAGCTAATTCAATTATGGACAATCAACAAACAATGTGTGAATTGGGAGATGACAGACCCTAATCAGATTACTGTAATTTTCAGCCTTTGTCAGTCCATAAACAAGTCACAGTGTGTTCAGATCAGCCAATAGCTTTGTAGCAATGGATCTTTTGTTTTCTTGATTACAAAAATACACATGTACTACAGTAGTTCAGCCAAGCACTAAATACAAGTTATCAGACATCTGACATTTTTTATCTGTTGGTCCTTACTTTTTGTTTGCTTTATTGTACAAAGAGAAGCATGGTGCTTGCTGCAGTCTTCCTCTCAATAAAATGATATAAATAAATCCAGGCTGTCATACGTGATGAAATATTAGCTGTCAGAAATAGCCAGGGTTCCGTCCTGACGCTATGTGTGACGTCTGACTAGGCCAGTGTCATATGCCATCAGAATGGAGAAAAAATACCAGTACAGCTTTGATGTTACAGTCCAAGCAGAAGTAGGGCTTGTTTGAGCCATTATTTTATGAACTTTGTCGGATGTTTGACTTTGTCAGCTTATCTCTTGGGTACACCGATTAGGCCCAAAAGCTTCCAAAATAGGAAGCCCGATAAAATGTCCAAAAGTGCCTTAGAAAATGTCTAAAACAAACCAAGCCTCTGCTTGGAGACGACTTTGATGCCAGGCATGCTAAAAATCTGGAAGTTGCCTCAGAGCTGCGGCAGTGTTTTGTCAGCATTAGAACAATAAATTCCAATAAAAATGTGCAAAGGTTTAACATCCTGGAGGTAGATGTACTTTGAACATTTGGTTGCCATCTCTACAGTCTGTGCATGAATGCCATCTGTTTTGAACCTTTAAATAGAAAGCCAGGAGCTGATTTTATGTTTTTCTCAACAAAAGATCTAATAAAATTTCAAGTCTGCACATCTTGTTTTGAGCACTGGGGAACAGAGGCTTGTGGCAAGGAAAAAGAGGGAGGGGGGATTTAGTACTACATAATGTAAGTTGTAACAATAATACTCAAGTAGTTCAAAGAACATCCAACAGAAAAAGGTTGCCAAATTCACTACATTGATTCTTTTATCTTTTAGCACTTTTGAAGCCATTTGCACTTGGTTAGCCAGCAGGGAGAAGGTTAACTTTTGATCTCAATGCATACATTGTACATTATGATGATGATACAAAAAATTTGCATGTTGAAAAACAAGATCATAAACTTGATGATAAAGAGACTTGCATGAAGAAATGAAATTCAGAAGGTTAAAAGATGGTTTTAACTGAATATTGTATCAAAGAAACAGTAGCAGGCATCCAGAGGTCTTGCCACAACTGGACATTTGACGAGAGCAAATTTGTTGCTAAAGTCAAGCCAAAGCAAACCTCAGGCTAAACGCCTACATGATAAGCCTGACACCAAAGCTGCTCTTTCAAAAGGTCAAATACTTTTGCAATGTTACACTGGGCGGTCTGGGAGACCTCAATTGCACTTGCACAGCGTCCTCCTTTTCAAAATGCCTCCGGTTTCAGAAGTCCCACCAAGATGTCTATTCAGTTTTGGTAGCTGCCTGCGGGGCCTATTGTGAGCCAGTAGCTCTGTAAAACTGTTTACTCAATTATGGCGACATCAGTTCCTGAAGTTTGTGCCCTAAATTTTGAACAACATTACATTGACTCGAAGTCATTGAGAATAATCATGATTCAGGTCAAGAATAAGATAAAACATACTGATTTTGATACTAGGTTTTGAACCTTGAAATCTAAATGGGGCAGCAGCTCTTGAAAATGGTGGCAAATACATGGAAATGGACCTATAAAATGGCTCATATCATTTACAAGCAGTTTAATTAAATATACAAGTAGAGGAAACTTACCTGACATAAATACTTCTTGAAATCATAAAAAAACACAGCTGATACATCCAGTCAAACCCCTAAAAATTTGTTACATCAAACCGTTTTTTGAACCTTTTCAACTGTTTTTTAACGTCATACTGTTTTCTGAACATTGAAACGGTATTTTTGTGTACAGTGCCATGGACTAGACCATACAAGACTGATTGATAGTAGTATAACCAATTATTTGAAGGAAATAAACAAGAAGAAACTCACCAGATATTTTCCTTCCTCCGCAGCTCCGGCTTGTCCGACAAACACGGCAGCGGCTGGCGCAAACTCGAGCTGCGACACCGTCCTGTCGAAAAACTGCGTCTCCCTCTCCTCGCAGTTGTAGTACAAGGTGACGGCGTTCCCGCGGATACTGAGGGAAAATCTCAGCCATTCTCCTGCGGTGGTCGGAATCGTGAACTTGGCCACCTCCTGGGTGACTTCGCTGTTTCTCGTATCCGTGTAAATGAAGGTGAGGTTCTGTAGCTCCTCCCCCGATCGCCCCTTGCCGGCGTCGGCGATCTTCAACCCCAGCTGGATCACCGTTTGGAAGGAATTTGTGACGGCGAACAGAATCCCTCCCTCCTGGAAGTTGGGCCTGGTGGTCACCAGAATGGAGAAATCCTTGTAGAACATATTGGGGAAGAACGTTCTGGCAAGCCTGCCGATGTTGGCCTCGCTGCCGAACTCGAACGCGGGAAAGCCATCGTATCCGCTGACGAATCGTATGGGTGTCGGGAGGGGCACTCCGATCATCTGCAGTAGATCAATATCCTGTTGTCCTCCGCTCTCTGAACCGAGGAAAGAAGAGAAAAGTTTGGTCAATGGGTGGAGGATATAGCTAGCCAACTCTTCAGTCACCACCGGATCCTGCACCGGGGAATACTCCTGCTCGAGAGGGAAGAGTGCCTGTGCGTGCGCTCCGGCAATCCTAGCGTCGCCGCTCCTGAGAAAAAAGCATAACAGCACTGCACAGCAAAGGTGAGGAGCTGCCCCCGCCATGGCCCTTAATTGTATGTTATAGAACTGGAGAGCTCAAAACTTCACTGCCTAGCAACGATTGGGCGGGTTGGTTCGGCCCGCCTCCTCTGGCTGGTCATTCGGTCCCCCTCTGCTCCCAGCATCTGATCAGGGATACCTTGTTGTGTCTGGCACCCTGCCCAGAAATAATACCAGAACTGTCATGGTCAATCCTCTCCGGTTACAACCCCCCCAACCCTTGACCTCAGGAGGGGGCGTTTAGCCGGCTAGTCGTCATTTATGGAAACGTGGACTATATTAGTGGTAAATTCCTCTCACGTCGGAGACATAATACGATAATTATGCCCAAAGGTGCTGTAGCATATGTCAAGTATAACTGGCAACACTAGGGTGACATAGGGTGGCCCTCAACCCCTACTGTTCACCCCTGGCACTCAGTAAGAAGAATAACTGCCCCCTGACACCCTGAAAAACAAATTAGTCACGCTCAAACCACAACCTATAGCCACAGTATCCGGCTGTGTACATATACTACCTGTCATACCTTTACCCCCCACCCTAGGAGAGAAGTTCCTGTAGAGGGTTGGGGGGATGAGATGTCACACCTGTGTCTTATCTGTGTGGTGGCTTCTGCCACAAGACTATCCATCCTTATTATATGAGTATAAATGGGACCCTTTCGGATTTTTTAGTTAGTACAGTACTAGAGTGGATCCCAGGTCAAATTCCATACCTGACATTTTAACTAAAGTTGGACTCCAGGGTCTAAAAAGTCATTCTGGATGTCTGTTACCAAGTGTTAGCCTGGATGCCAGACTGTTTCAAAGGCTTACACTGCCCAGCTCCTTGGCTCCAAGCCCCCAACAAAATTTTTCCATAGCCCCACACCCCAGTTTCTCTGAGTATACCTAAGGGTTGGGGGGGGGGGCTGTGGTAAAATTTCCTTGGGGGCATGAGGAGCCATGGAACTGTCAGGCATCCAGGCTAGATGTTTGTTGTCTTCAGTCACTACTAGTACATTTACCACTAAATAATATGAATCAAAGTTATTGAAAACTCTCTGATCTTTGATATACTCGTATAGCATGCATTTTCTGCAACGTGGAATACAGGTTAAATTCCATCTGGGAATCTTAGTAAATTAGACCTTCTAGATGCCTAAAATACAACTTATCCTTCATTAGATCTAGATATGAATCAAAATAAATTGAAAACTGTCGAATCTTTAGAGAAATTTACTACCTTGCACTTGGAATGCAGGTCAGATTCCATGTGTGACATTTTAACTGAATCTTAGTTGGACTCCAGAGGAGCTCAGAAGTCATGGTTTATAAGTCTACCACCCATTCACCCTAGAGCGATAAGCTCTGGTACAAATTAAGCGTGACTTTCAAGGGGAAACTTTCTCCTGTTTGGTCTAGATTCCTCCATGGATGACTTTGGGTGAAGTATGGTGAACTCTATCAAAGGAGCTTTACTGGAAGAAAAAATAGTCTGACGCCTACAACTTATATGTAGACTTTTAAATGGAATAGCAGACATGTGCACAGTTTTACAATGTCACTGCATACGTGTCTTGTCCTAAAAAAAGGGTCAGCATGTCTTTTCCCATGAGCCATAGACAGATAGTTGAATGCACCATTAATAGTTAAGTGTTTAAGTACTGATAAACAAGACAGTGACATGTAAAAACAAATTTTTCTGCAGAAATTTGGGGCATAATCAGTCATCTGTCAAAACTTTCAAGTTAGATCCAAACAATCAGTTTCCTAACATCAGTCAGAGTCTCAGACTATCTGATGGCTTTGTAAATAAAGATTGTGCCAAGATAACAAGTTTTTAATTTAAATTCTCTTATCACTAATGAGGTGGTACATCTCCATCCCAACAGATGTCTCTTCTACATACAGGCTGTTCTCATTGAGTCATAGAAAATAGGTACTAAGCTTCAGTTGCTGATGTTATCTGTGATGGGATTTTTTTTCAAAATCGCTACCTGAATTCTACTGCAATCATATCACAAGATATTACAACTCAGAGGAACTCACGATAAATAAATATCTTCTTTAGCAAGTCCTTTTTCCAATTTCACAAAAGATGGCAGTCTGGCTGGCTCCCTCCCTCCTTCACACAGCTTCAGATTTCAGGCTCCATTACAAGGTGGGCCACCTTGTGTCCAACATGTTGTGTTTTGGCAAGTGCTAATGACTAATATGTATGTGTTGTAGACTCTTGCCAAGGAAAACTGTCGCTAACTCAGGGTTAGACCATCCAACATGTTACCATGTTGTTACACAAAATCTGTGTTGTCTTGTGGTCAATCTTACATTTGGCTGACTGGCCAGTTGGCAGGATATACTGGACACACTTGCCAAAATGTTGAGGTGACGATAACAGAGACTGTTAAAAAATCCTTACTAGCTGTTCAACTCAGAGCATTATGGTCTGTTTAACCTTCACAACCAAAGTTATGAATATAGAGGTCACTAGCAAAAAGGTCAACTCTGAAGGATAACATTTGTAAGAAGCTCTCTGATTGGTTCAAAGTTTTAACTTAAGATGTCATAGTACAAGGATAATTACAGCTACTAACTGTAACTAGGCAATATAAACATAGAATTTACAAACAACTACAATCTTCTCCCTTCTGCTTATGTCATAACTAAAAAAGATGTTACAGAATAAGAAAAGATGTTACAGAGTAAGAGCTCCATCTGACACCATCCCCCGCCAAAGCTAGGTACTCACTTCCACCCAAGTTGAATGGGGAAATAGGTGTTAAGTGCCTTTCCCCAGGGCAAAGAAAACTAAGACCTGCTAGGGATTCGAACCCAGAACCTTTAGATTCAGCCCTGACCACAAAGCCATCTATCATGTCTCACAAGGGTTCTAGTCTTCTGAGATAATGTAGTATAATACTGTATGGTACTGTTTGTTTTCACAAAGGTCCACCTTTCTCAGAATCAAACTTTATTTGAACCAGGCCCGATACTACATTCTGCTGTCTCAAAAAAGATTAAAAAATGATCTCAATAAATCGAAGAATCTGCAACCTAAAATCAAAACCATTTCTGCTGGATAAGAAGGTGAAAGGTCTTGTCTGAGGATATAATTCTTTTGAAACCCTTTAAGAAGTTTATCTTCAAGAAACCTTGAGACAGACTGAAGGATGCCACTTTACCTACAAAGTTCAATGAAAGACCACCTGATAGACATCCGAAGTTCAACCTCACAGTTGCTAAGGATTACAAGTCAATTCCTTCAAGGTGCTTGGCATTCTAACGTGCTGACATCTATTTTCTTAAGGTCTCTGCCATGTCTCAAGGTCTTCAGGTGACTGTCTATAACCTTCCAGCATTACTTATCCTTCCTTAGACACACACCTTTGATCTACGTAATGAGTACCAGAGATGGTTTCTAACATCTGATTAGTATTTTAGTTATCACAGTACTGTAGTCAATATAAACAGACGTTTATGAATACAGACAGAGGTTACCACTAGAAAAAAGGTCAACTCTGAAAGGCCATATTGTCAGACATACATTTGTAAGAAGCTCTCTGATTGGTCCAAAGTTTTGAGATGTCAGAGCACTATGATAAAAAAAAATAGCTATTGACTGCAAGTAGTATAAACATAGAAATTCGTAAATAAAAACAGAGTTTACTCTGAAGGTCAACTCTGAAGGGTATTATTTTATATCCATTTGTAAGAAGCTCTCTGATTGGCTCAAAGTTCAAAGTTAATTAACCATAACCATTGCAGAATTCCAAAGTTCGCTCCTGGCATCCAAATGAGGAAAAAGTACTCCCAGCTATGGCCTGTTGTTACCACTAATATTTATAATTAGTAGTCAGCTACAAGAATATAATAAAAAAATCCTTACAAAACTTTTGTTAACTTTACTTTTTCTTAATTGACTCTCCAAGGAAATCAACAACTTGATGTTTGCATTCTTCACCTTGATTCTTGTGATTCCCTGGGAGGCTGGAAGGCTAGGGTCAAGACACTACTATCATATGATACTTTGTTTGGTCCTTTGATACAATCAGTCTTTCATTCAAACAGAAGATCTGCATTTGTAAACTATTATCCAAGGGAATTAAACATCTAATGTTTGCATACTTGGACGCTATCTTCCACCAGAGATTTGGCCTACGGTTAAAGTGTTGAAGTTATGGTACGTGTCAAGACCAAGTTAGTATACCGTAGTAAAATTTGCGTGTTGCAGATGACATATTTTCTAACACAACTTTTGAAAACTGAAGAAGGGATGTCATCATTAAATAAATCTGTGAATATGAACCATAAATGAGATGTCCTGCAAAGTGTTGTACACAACAAATTATGTTTCATGCAGATGTAGTACATGTAGTACATTCTGCCAACGAGCCAGTGATGCATTGTGTTGACAGCCACTCCAAAGAGTCTGCTAGTGTCACTGTTACTTGTGTTAGTCCTGGGAATTACTGTAAATCACTGTATACTCGTGGTACATGTAGCAAAATTTTGCAGTCTTAGAGAAAAATGGACATGTATATGTTTGTGGTGATGGCAGGTGCAGAAGTAAGAAAAATCTGCAAATTATTTGTTCACGGCAATGATAAATTTGCAGTACAGAATTGACAGCAAAAACCGCAAATATAAAAGTACCGTAAATATATAAAATGATTTACGGTAACCATCTCATGTTTGCACACTTGCATGCTATCTTCCTCCAGAGATGTTGCCCATGGCTTTATCCTTGAATCCCTGATATGTCAAGGTCAAGTACATGTGATTTATTGCGAGCATGTGGTCCTGTCTGAACC